AAAATGTCACGATGTTAGGTTCCACGAGCAGATTAATTATTCTGTTTTCCGCAAAACTGTTTCCCTTAAAGGAAAGGACAGAGAGGAAACCAACTACTAGATAATAATGGAACGCTAGCTGGGTCTCATCTACAAAGCTGCCATGAACAAAGCGTATACATACACATGCATATTTCATACGCTGTTCATGAAAATACTTCTTATCCCTTTTGGGAGCACCTGTTCCTGCCTTCGCTTTTCCCTTCCCTCTCAGCGAGGGGAGAGGGAGAGAAAAACGGCAGATTTGGCAGAAATCCTTTAATAGCCTCAAGTCAATTTGATTAAACTTTGATTTGCCTTAAAAATTACTTTGTATCAGTAGCACGTTACAGAAACTTTAAGATACACCGTTCAGAATTAAAAAAGCTCTGGAATATGTAACGTATGCCACTTTGATAAGCTGGTTAGGCAAGCAAACGCAAGTATGCTACATCATAACACAGTAAGAAACGTGAGTACTTCTTGCTAAAACTGAGTTGTTTTCCGGTTTTCTTCTATTGTTGTTTTTTAAGGGTTAATACAAATACATAGCATTCTCTTAAAAAAAAAAGAAGAAGAAAAACCCAAAGTCTTCGCACATTTAATGGCAGCCCTTCGCTGCTACTTTGCCATCCTTAGCGTGAAGAAAATACCGCTGCACGTACCATGTATCCACGCCTGGATGTACACCAAACCGAGCTCCCCGCGGTACCGAGAGGGAGGGGGCAGGAGGAGCCAAGGCAGGAGCAAACACTCTGCACACGGAGTCCCCTTCCCGGTATCTTTTTACAGAAGCCCTTGCTAACAAAACACTATTGCTCCAGGCAGCGGCATGCTGATGTTGGCACTGCTTAAACCAAACAAACACGATGTTTAACAGTCAAATAAAATGTCCCGCAGCCTCCCTAATGAATTTGTCAAGGACCATCAGATCACCCCCGCCCCTGCCTCATTAACTCAAGTATGATGAGACGGATTATAACGAGAGAATACAGATCAATCGGTCTGAAGACTTCAAGTGGCTTTTAGCCCTGAGAGTTTCCTTCTCTGAGGCACAGACACGCACGCGGTCTTTTTAATGGAATACAGTATCTCCTGCTGCTGGAGGGGCTGCCACTTCGTTTTATACACCATCAAGGAGCTGCTGATGGACTTCTACACTAACACACATAAAAGCAGAGGTGACAAGGGCTCTTCAATTATAGCCTCCTCGGATCCTGTTCCCCTTTCAATTATTCATCCCGGCGAGAGCAAATTCCGCCACAGATGAAGCGGGTCTTAATGCAGTGCGGCCACAAACGCCCAGACACAGGAGAGAAGGCTTTCACGTGCATTATTTGCTGGAAGTGTTTAAGTTTATTGCTCAAATGATGTTTCTAATTAGCGCTGAGGTAATAAATTAAAGTCGGCTTTTGTTTAGCTGATTTATTATTTACTAGAGCTTCAATCTCAGACAGGAAAATTGGTAATGAATTGTTTTAAATCCGAACACTAGTAACGCTTCATCATTAGTCACCTTAC